TTTCAATTTTCTTTAAGTATTATAATTTACTTTTATAAAAATTTTGAAATACTGATTTAATTTGAAATAATATAGGGTCACTACCAAAGTAACGTGGAGGAATTCATCCGTAGTCATCCAGCTGGTGAATCGGGCCAACCCAACCTTCGGACGAGGATGCTGAAAGAATATGGTTGGAGTCTGTTGGCGGTCTAAAATGGGGAAAGGTATACGAGCTTCCTACTAAAAACTTCCATCGCTATAAGTGTGGACTACGAGGAATAGGGACTTCCTCACAAGGCGAGCAACTTAATAGGGAGAGCCTCTCCGCTATGCGGGAGACAGTGACAAAGCTCACATCCGAGATAGAAGCGGCCAAGGAAAGAGAAAGACGTAGAGATGCTCTATTCCTTGGCATGCAAGTTCAGATCAGAACTCTCCTATCTAGTGGAGCTTTTCCGTTGCCCCGATCTCGTGAGTCATCTTCAGAGGGTCGACCTCCACGTGATCGTTCCTCCCGTCCTGCTTGTGATCGTTCTTACCGTCCTCCATAAGACCGTTCTCTATACCGTCTTGTAAATGAAAGTTTATCAGACGGTGATGATGATGTTGTAGAAAACACCCCTTGACTTTTATATACTTTGAAGTAGACAAATAGAACCAGTTTTGAACTAGTTGTAATTAGATTTAACTTGATTTTGGATTTTTATGTTCAATTGAACTTTAATTTATTAGTTTTAAAGTATTTATTGAATGTTTTGGTTGTTGTTGTGTTGTTGTTATTGTTGTTGTTGTTATTAGGTGTATTGGTATGCTGGCAGGTGGTGTAGCTGCCAAAACAGGCATTTTATGCCAAAATTAAACCCAAAAAAATCGACCAAAGTTGGTCGGTTTTTAATAATAATAAAAAAAAATTATTCCAAAATACCGACCAAAGTTGGTCGGTTAATGAACATTGAATTCCCAGAATTCAACATTACCGACCAACTTTGGTCGGTATTTTGCCTGCACTGTTGAGATTACCGACCATAGTTGGTCGGTAATGTTTAATTTTAATTATTTTAAAAAAATATATATTTTTAATTACCGACCAAAGTTGGTCGGTTTTTTTTAATTTTAATAATTAATAAAAAAAATATAATTTAGTTAAACCGACCAACTTTGGTCGGTAAAATTAAATTAATAAAATATGTTTCCGACCAAAGTTGGTCGGTAAGTAATTAAACTTGTCAGATGGTCGTTTTAATCTACCGACCAAAGTTGGTCGGTAATTTCCGACCAACTTTGGTCGGTAAGCCATTCTGACCATCAAAACATCGTCCACACCCTAGTAGTGAGATTGTAATATATTAAATTGGATAAAACAGTAGAATAGCTCATCATTGAAAACGGATCATTTTACAATCTCTAGCAAAAGGTAGTACGACTTAAACTACTTTATGTATTTCTCATTACAAGTAAAACTTACTCCTCTCAGCAAGAAAAAGAAATTTACTCCCAAATAAAATATACAAGCAAACAGAACCTAGTTACACAAATAGTTTTCTTGGTGTTCCGTTTTCAGATGACGACTCCGGCGAGTGTGAGCGACGTCTAGGGTTCACTCTAGCCGGCTCCGGCATGCCTGAGCCGACTAAGTGTGGAAAATTGAGCCGTGCTTTCGAGCCACGAATTTTGAAAGCGGCTTGATCATAAGCCAATGCTGCATCCTCCGGTGTCTCATATGTTCCTAACCATAACCTTGCATTTTTCTTATTCGGATCCCTTATCTCCGCCGCGAACTTTCCCCAAGGCCGCCGCCTTACACCTCTGTAACGCTTCCAATCTTGTGGCGCGTTTGCCACACTCGCCGCAACAGTCTCCGTATTATTAGTCTCTTCAAATTCATGAAACTTTTCAGTGGCTACTAAAGTAGGGTTTATCAATGGTGTCAATTCCCCATAGTAAAAGTTGTTTTCTGTAGAAGGAGAGTTGCTAAAAGTTGAACTTGGGCTATTCGAATCCATAGCTGAAAAGATATCTGGAATATTAGAATCATTCAGAAGATGATGTTGTATAGATTCAAGGAGGGAAAGATCAGCTGAATTCATATTTTCTCTTCTTTTTTGTTTTCCTTTTGGTGGAGTTTAGGGTTTTCGAACGTACAATATTTATATATGCCTGACAGATGGGAAATAAGAAAGGAATTCTTTCTAAATAAAGTTTTTTGGAAGTGCCAGCGAAGGTTCCATTTGAAGCACCTGCATGGCATGGTTATATTTGTTCGAATATATATATANTATTTTGGTCAGGAGTGGTCGATGTAGTAATTTATTTATTTATTTCTGGGGCAAAAACCCACGTTTCACGTTTATTTCTTTTGGGTATTATAATCTAGCTCGATCTCGAAGGAAGCTTCTCTTCTATATCTCAAAAGTTGTACGGAAGTTAGCAAATGCAATGCAAGTTTTGTAAAGTTCTCGAGAATATAATTTGAGTAGCATTTCTCTTTAGAAAAGTCGATTGATATCTTATTTCAAGAGATTGAAAAGAGATAGCTAGAAATGTACAAGGATTTTGAATTTATTAACATTTCGGAAGAATTACATAGAATATTAGAAAAACAAAACCCACGTTAAGTTCTACATTTAGTTCTTTTTTGCTTTAATATCAAAGGTTGTGTGAATTTTGCAAATGCAAGTTAAAGGTTCGCTAGAACTCTATCTTTTAAATTTTTTTAAAAACAACTCATCTTATTTCAAGTGATTTTTGATTGAAAAAGAAAATTGTAGATTATATTGACTTTGAAATATTATTTTTTTTTAAAGAAAAAGCATAGATTCTTAGAAAAAATCTATCTCATCTCTTGCTGTGTAACCTGACTGGAGACAGTAAATTCAGTTTCACAAACATGTTCACTCGTAGTAGTAATATAGGAAGGATATTGTGGTTCATAACAATAATTCCCAAATAAATAATCTTTTTCATAACAATAATTCCCAAATAAATAATCTTTTCGATCCACAGATTTAACAAGACAATAGAAAAGATCGAATTGAACAATAAACCCGAAAATTGGTATAAACAGTTTGCTTACATTGAATTGTCAAGATTGTTTTCCCCAATGACTAAATGAAGAAATTAAATGTTTTTCCTTATATGGAACTCAGGTTTTCCTTAAAACTATGTCAAATCTTACGTCATATTACTTTTAAGCAAATATTAGACATTGTTGTCAATTGTTAATACTCGAAACTATAGTCACATAGTTACCATATACATATCATCAATGGCATGTTGTACAGTTAACACATGTCATCCATGTCCCAACCAAATACTAAAAGTTGATCTAGCTAGAAATTAATGAATTCCCAGTTATAAACCATTTTTTACATAAAATAATTTCTAAGAAAAACATTTCATCTCAAATCGAAAGACACCCTTAATTCCAAATAAAAGTTGATAGTTTTGAGGTAAAACACGTTACTAATGCCATTTATTTCACCTACTCTACATTTCACTGTAAAAAATATTCAGACTAATAAATTTCACAATAAAACTGAACAACGAAAGACTAGGTACTTTCTGGTTCTCGAGTTAAATTTGAATGTAATGTATGTGCTCTATTTTGTATTAGAAATCATACATATACTCCGAAACAGCTAACTATTACTCCTACGAGTTTAGAAGACACTTAGACGTACCTTCATAAACTCGTGTCTGATTCCCGCTTTACCCTAGATTTTCGGACACGAATCTAGATTAATCAGGACCAAAGCGGATATTGGACGTAAGGTGGAAAAATAAAAAAATAAAAAAATAAAAAATAAATTATAAATTGGTGTTTGATCTATATATTATCAGAATTTAAATCTAATAAAAGTTAAAAGTGATATATAACACAATGCTATATCAGATTTTTCGTAGCTTATTTAAAATCAAAATTGAAATAGTAAATAAAGAGTTTGTAACTCAATTCTGAAATGGGCGCCATATCCTAATTCCGCCCTTTTATATAGAACAAAGAAGCAACTTAAACTAACAATATTTCCCTCTACGACTACTACAAGTTTAGCCTCTAATTCAATTTTCAGCCAATTTTCTCTTCTTTAGAGGTATATTTTCAACAAATGACGACGAAAAAATAGATGATGAAATCTCCGGCGATAGGCAACGCCGTCTCGGAGCCACTCTAACCGGCTCGGATATGTTCGAGCCGATTAAGTGAGGGAAGTTGAGCCGAGCCTTAGAGCCACGGATCTTATATGCGGCTTGGTCATAAGCCAATGCTGCATCTTCGGGTGTCTCGTAAGTTCCCAGCCAAAGCCGGGCGCCTTTCCTATCCGGGTTTCTTATCTCCGCCGCAAATTTACCCCACGGCCTCCGCCTAACACCCCTGTACCGGTTCCAATCCTGAGGTGCGTGCACACCACGCGCCACCACATGCTCCTCCTTGTGCTCCAACTTATTGACTGGTTCCCACGAGCTATTGATACTAGTTAACATATCGCCCCAGCTAATTTCTGCTGTTGGAGAGCTACCAAAACTCGAGTTCGGGCTATTAATATTTTCTGCATTACTAAAACATTGATCGAACGTGGAAAATATTTGTGAAAAATCAGTATCATTTAGAAGATGGAATTTGATGTTTTCAAGGACGGAGAGATCAGAATCTGAGATGGTTGTTTGTTCGTACATTTTTTTGTTTTTTGAGTTTTAAGGAATTTTTTGTTTTGCTACAATGAAGAACTTTAGAGCTTAGTACTGTGAATGAATGATAAGGTTTTGCATTTGCACTTTATATAGAGCAACCAGATTGTCCACTATTTTAATTATGTAGATAAAATAATATTTGTTTAATCAAACACATGGTCTTTTCCTTTAATTATAAGGAGTGTAACTTATAGGAATTTCTTGGAAGCTACGAGCCCATCACTTAGAGTAGTTATTTTGAACATGTGTAAGAGGTGCTCCATTATTTTTTTCGAGTAATAAATTTTTTATTCTTCCTTTTATGATTGATTATATTTTACTCTTGGAATGGGCAACGAAGCATCGTTTGTTTAGTCTAAAAGAGTATAAATTACGAGCACCTATACACATTTGTTAGGAAATATTTCTTGTTTAAGATTATTAAATTCTAACAACTTTCAGAAACTAAATTAGCTAAAACCAAAAAAAATTCAGTTGGTATTATAATGCTTTTCCGATTCACAGTTGCTTAGAAAATGAATTCTTTTTCTCCAAACGATTGACATTTTTTTATTTAGTGGGATAACCAATAACCATGCATGTTCAATATGGTAACTTATTTAAGTAAGACTTGAAGATTTTGATTCGAAACAAATTATAGAAGTATTCTTATTCTTAGGGAAAAGTCAATTTAAAAAATTGAAAGCCAAAAGATTATGACATGTGATGATTTGAAATAAAAGAAATTTGTAAAGCTTTTATTTAAAGAGGAATAAATTGAACTTGGTCCCTGTTTTATATGTTAATTTCAATTTTAGACCCCTATTGTTTAACCAGCTCACATAGAAGTTCCATTTGTTGGAAATCAATTGTTAGAATCGGTGTTTTAAAAGGCATTTCTGGGACTCACCCCTGGGCGGGGCACTTGCAAAACGCCCTGGGGCTCATGTATGGGGCTTAGTTCTGTGAGGCTTACACCCCAAGCACCCGACCGTGCGCCCTAACCACGCCTAACATCCAACGCTCGGGGCTCGCCTAACAGTTCTAACACAAATCACGTGTCGAATTTCCTAATTAATATCGTTGACCTTCAAAATTCTTTAATATATTGATGATAAAAGTTCTATTCATCGATAGAAATATGAAGATTGAGCATATCTTCACTTGTTATTGGTCGTGTCTTAGTTCATTTGTCCCTCCTTATTATACACATTTATTAATTTGATATCTTAAACTAATTTGTATTTATTCATAAAGGAGTAATATTTTAATTATAGTACTGATAAGATTTTATTAATTATTTACTGTTAGGAAGGTAAAATGTGGAATTTGATCATTTTTTTAAAGAAATTATAAGTTTTTAATTATTTGNGCTGAGGCATATATAAAATGTCTAGCCTTACGTCCACTCCTTTTGAAACACTAATTAGAATCTAACGAGTTGATTTTTCCCCTTTTCTGTGCTTTACTGAAATAGAGAAAGGTAGAGTATCTTTCAAATAAATATATGCGAAGTTTGAGAATACTAATTAAAAATAACTAAAAAGTAGAAGAAAATGTTAGACAGTGAATGAATATTTTCCCCACACAAAAAAAAAAAATCCAACCGTCCAAACGGATCAGAAGTCATAGTTACCGCTACCAGTCTTACATTCGTCTTCATTTTCTTTAGATAAATTTTCACAAACCGCTATTATTTAGGGGTTATTAGCTAGTTGTAGTTATCGTTTACTATATTATTTTCTATAACTATGTTTTTAATTTTTTTAGAGTGTATTCGATGTATTTAAGCTATTGTATTCATGAATACAGTAGCAAAACTCGACGTGAAACAGGGGATTCAGCTAGACAATTATTGTATTCGACTGTATTCACGATATGTATTTGTGAATACAGTAACATAAATAGCGCAAATCGTGGTCTATTCAGTTATTTTTAAACGAAAAGTGAATCAATTAACACAATAGACTCCTAATATAACTCAAATAACTCAATTACATCACCCATAATCTGTATTTGACGCGAAATTTGCTGAATATTTTTCAACAGAGCAATCGTCGAGTTTCTAATCCTTCCCTTTTCTGTTGATATCGTCTGTGGGTGTTTCTGTTTTCAACCAATAAAATTCGAGATTCATCTATAGTGCAAAAACATATGAATACATACTGCAGATACATTTGAATACATATATACATATGAATACATAAATTATATTAATTAAAAAAAATATATGAATACATTCATGGAATACATCGAGACAATGAATACAATGAAATACATGGAATACAGCGAGATACATTGGAATACAATGAAAATAAATACAATGAATACAATTAAATACATAAAAATACAGCGAGATATATTGAAATACACTTAAAAAAAAGGTAACAGAATCTTCAATTTGCTCAGCCCCAAACTCCGTCGTCTTTGTTCAAGAACAACCCTAATGTCGTCTCGTCGAGAGGGCCGCGATTCTGACTCGAAACGTCATTGTTCCCGTTTCGATCATGAACCAAGTCCAAAGAGATCTAGGAAGCACAATAGACCAGTCGAACTTTCCTCTTCTTCTTTGTCTCCTCCGCTACTCAATTTGCAACAAACAGCCATAGACCTCATTCTATTACAACTTCTAGGTATTCGGAATTGAGGAAACGGTGATTTTAGCTTGGCATGAGAAGAAAGAGCGGAGATTCACCGCTGATGGTAGTGGTGGCGGAGATGCTTTCCAGGAGGAAGAACGATCGACGGATGAACTGATGAGAGAGAATCCATGAGTTTTATGGCTTTGAGAGAGAGAGGGTGGAGAAAAATCTGAAAGAATGAGAAAGAAAAATAATACAAAGCGTATTTTATGACTTAAGGGTAGGAGGTGACCATAAATAAATATTTGGCTATAAAAATCAAAAGATAGTTATGAAATATAATTTTTTAAAAGGGTATTTATTTAAAATAAATAAGGTATCAACATTTGTTATAGTAGTTAAAAATTTCTTTTCTTTATACTTAACCATAACGTGTATTTGGAGTCGTGCCAAAAAATTGAAGTCAATAGAAAGGAGATTGGTCAAAGTCATCTGTAGTAAAATGAATAAAACATCTTGGTACACTATTTTATATATCCGTACTTATAAAGATACTTGTCTGCTGCTACCACATCATAGTCGAAGAACAATGGAGTAATAAATATTAAAATGAATAAAGAAACGCCTGCTGATCTGGGCTACCGTTGGATCGGGGCTACAAAAGCTCCAAGAAAACTTTTAAAAGTATTCGTCATGTTTTGAAATATAGTTTAAAAGTAATAATATAGAACAAGGAAAAATAAGCTAAGAGATATAAAGAAAAAGAGTTGAGAGATTCTTATTTCTTCTTCAATTGTGTGTATTTTTTTTATCTATTATAATGCATTTATATAGACGTGAAAAGTGAAGAAAAATATGTCATTAAATATGTCATTAAGCATTTGAGATAAAGATCATGGAGGAAGATCATGCATGAAGAGTAGGCATCCACCATAATTTAATTTTTCTTATAACACTCCCCCTTGGATGTCCATAGATAATGTGCCTCGTTAAAATTTTATTAGGAAAAACCCTCTAAAAAAATCCTAATGAAGGAAAAAGAGTACACATGTTTATAAATACGCCTTTTGGTTGCCTCGTTAAAAACCTTCAAGGAAAACCCAGTGGGATAAAATCTTGTAAAGAAAAAAGAGTACAACACGTATTAACTCCCCCTGATGAGAGCATCAATTCACATCCTTGAGCCTTCGCATCCCAATCTTGTACACTAGTTTCTTGAAGGTTGACATCGGTAGAGATTTGGTGAACAAATCAGCCATATTATCACTTCAACGAATCTGTTGCACATTGATATCACCATTCTTTTGAAGATCACGTGTGAAAAATAACTTTGGTGAAATGTATTTTATCCTATCTCCTTTTATGAATCCCCCCTTCAATTAGGCTATGCATGTTGCATTGTCTTCATACAAAATTGTGGGTAGTTTGTCACACTTCAAACCACATTTGTCTCTAATAAGATGTATTATAGACCTCAACCATACACATTCTCGACTTGCTTCATGAATAGCAATTATCTCAGTATGATTAGATGAAGTAGCCACGATTAATTGCTTAGTCGATAGTCAAGATATGGCAGTGCCTCCACATGTAAACACATAGCATGTTTGAGATCGAGCCTTGTATGGGTCATATAAATACCCAGCATCGGCATAACTAACAAGATCGGGATTGCAATCATTGCCATAAAATAAGCCCATATCGGTAGTCCCTTTTAAATACCGCAATATGTGTTTGATTCCATTCCAATGTATCCTTGTAGGAGAAGAGCTATATCTTGCTAAGACATTAACTGAAAAAGTTTTGTCAGGCCTTGTAGTGTTAGCAATATACATTAGTGCACCAATTGCACTAAGATATGGTACTTCAGGACCAAGAAGCTCTTCATTATTTTCATGAGGTCGGAATGGATCTTTATTTATATAGAGTGATCTCACATCCATCGGGGTACTCAATGGATGTGCTTTATCCATATAGAATCGCTTTAAAATCTTTTTAGTGTATGATGATTGATGGACTAAAATTCCATCTTTCATATACTCAATTTGTAGACCAAGACAAAATTTTATTTTTTCAAGATCTTTCATTTCAAATTCTTTATTTAAACAGTCTACTGCTTTAGGAAGCTCCTCAGAAGTTTCAATGATATTTAAATCATCAACATACACGGCGATTATAACAAATTCAGATCCAGATCTTTTTATAAAGACACAAGGACAAATTGAATCATTCTTGTACACTTCTTTCAACAGGTACTCATTCAGGTGATTATACCACATGCGCCCTGATTGTTTCGATCCGTATAAGGATTTTTGAAGCTTTATGTAATGACCCAATCGGTCGTTTTGAGCATTTGCACTTCGCTCGGTAGTTTACGGGCATGCGTAGCTCCGTATAATGTATTATGACTTATGTGAATCGTCGGTTTTGATTTTCAAGTTATTCGGAATCGAATTGGAAGAATGGATTTCATTGTTGAA